AAGGAAATGCTTTTCATTGATCCTGTGTGCCGCTGCGCGTTCTGTTTGGGGGCAGTTCGGAGCATGAAAGAACTGCATGTCAGCTTAACCAATTAAATGTGTACTAGAAGCCTGCATGTGTGTGGATGCATTCAAGTTGTATGCAGTAAGAGTAAGCAGTTCCACCTGCTCTTCACCTAAACACCCTTATTCCTCATAGCTGTAATCCTTCCTATTAATACCTGCCTCTCTCTGTCCCTCTGTCGGTCTTCCCAGATTGTCTCTTCCTTGCCCACATAAGGTTCCTTTGAGTGATTTTTGAGGGACACCCACCTGTTCTCTGACTCTAGTCACATCCTGGACTGCATCTGCCTCCTATCACTTTGTTCTGTCTGCCTTCAGTCTGCACCATGCCTGCCTCTCAGCAATCATTTATCTGCTCCAAGACTTCGTACTGCCTTTTCAGTCTTCATCCGCCTGTATAACGCCTGCCTCCAACCAGTTCAATCATCACACACTTAATCCTGCTACCACTCTGTTTGGCCTATCACCAGTTCACATGTCTGCACAGGCTGCCAGATCACCTTGACAAACTCTTCATAAACCTTTAAGCACACCATATTTGGCTGGTTATTGGGTTAGCAGAAACATCATCTAACACTTCAAAAAGAATGCTGTGGAGAGTGGAGTCTCTTTTGTCATCATCTGTTGGGGAGGCAACATCAGAGCCACTGACTGGAAAAGGCTGATTACGTAAGTCGATAAAGAAAACAGACTCTGATCTTGGGTCTGCTCTGAAGTCTCTGGAGCTCATTGTGCAAATAAGGATGATTCCAAAAACAACTTTGAGCAACCTCCTCACATGACATTAGTGCAAAAAGATGGTGTCTTTAGTCAGAGGCTTTTCAGATTGTTGGTAATATAAAGACTACAGTACATGCAGACTAGGCTTTCTTCCCAAAGCCATTACCATATATACTGACTTAGACAGTCTAAGGTAAATCATTTATTTTAAGGTTAAAATAACTTGAATATAAATTAATATACAACACTGAAGTGGAAGAACAAAAAGTAATTGACTTACAACTCCCTGAATTCCAATGTGTAATAGGGCATATGGGGGAAACCCAAGACAGAACACTAAGCTTTCAGTCACAGTTCTTAGAGGCAGACTATTAGTGCTTAAAATATAAGCCAAGCTAACACATCATGCTTACCTTGATAATAGACTCAGAATGTTGATCAACATATTTCTCAGATAGAAAATACATTAGTCTTTTCTGCTGCATCCATTGTACTTGCTTTGTTTCTTCACACCTTATACTTATGCCTCATAATCACATAAGAACCCAGTTCATTCTAAGTTTATAACAGTCCCCTGAGTTGGATTTAGGCTACAGTAGTGGTGGGTGGATTACGATCCCAGAAATAAAGACATGTTGTTGTTGTTTTTTTTCTGATTTGAAGTCCTTTTGAAAGAAAGACAGTCCAAAATGATGGATGGATTGGAGAGGAATTGGAGGTTAAGGGTCCTGCTCAGTGAACCATAGTGGGAGTGGGGCTCGAACTCATAACCTCTTTAGATAAAATTTGTCCCATCAGCATAAACTTAGCATTTAGGTAAAGAAATACCCAGTGTTTTTAAAAATTTCTATATCCTGGAGCCCTCTTTATCTCTATATCTCGGCTAAGGATTTACATTTTTTTTTTTAGAGAGAAATATTTTAAGATTCAGTCACAACAGCAATAAAAAAAGTTAAAATCTAGCTATCGTGTAGTAAAAGAGACTACTTTAAATCAAAATGCTAACAGATGCTAATATTTTAAGCTTTTGCCAAAATAAAAACAACAATGCTTGAAAACAGCAATGCTAGTAGTGATAATGAATAAGGTTGTATTTATAGTATTCATGCTGATAGTACTAATCCTGTAGTGCTCTACTCATGTCTGTGGGTTTTGATGTGTGTTTTATGAAATAAAAGAAGAAATAGAAAAAGTTGCCTTGATTAATAATAAAATCTAAAAACCTAAGTCACATATTTAACTGAGTTCACTATTCCCAGTGGTTGAAAACGCAAGACTTTCTATAAGAAACATATTTTTAATTTTAGATATTTATAAGAAGATATTTATTACTACCCATTTGAATTACATTTTTCCCATTGCAGTTAAATATACTGTACATGTCTTTTTTCTCTTGTAGGTTAGGACTTTGGTGAATTGTCATTGAGCAGTCCTTTTCAGAGAACTTTGCACCCAACCTTTTCAGAAAGGCTGCAACAGGAACAAAACTGCAGAGAACACACAGGAAAAATAATGCAACTGTTCTTGGCATCTACTTAATCATATTTAGTTACTTTAACACAATTTTTTCATGTTAGCATGGTAGGACATAAACAAATTATAATACATCTCGACACTTGATCTGTTGAGGAAATGAGATTTAAGAAAATACAAAATGAAGTGTGGGTTTAAAGTCTACAGCATTATCGGATCATTTAAAATCCAGAACAGAAAAAAATATATATATTGTTGAGTCTTATTGCGCGATTTGTCAAAACAAAATGTGGTTTTAGTATGAGAGATTAGGCTTGAAGAGAAAGAAAAATATTTTTTCATTGTTTTCTGTCCAGCCTGTTTTAGCAAATGTACTGCCTCCATACAAACAGTAACAATCAAAGGTTTTACTTTTCCAAAAATGTGTCCTCTGTTACATTTGATTGGGACTGAACCTTGAGTACAACTTCACGCTCTGCCAACATCCAGTCACCCTTCAGTATACACAAAGAGAAGGAATGGATCTGGCCAGGAGACTATGTAAACATGTCTGGAGACATTCAACAGCATCAGACATCATTAGGACAAAAATACAACATTAACCGGTTGGAAAACAGAAAGAGAGAGCAGTATGTTAACTAGCTTGTTTGAAGCAGTCTGCCATAATGTAACTTTACTCCAACTTGAATGTGAAAAGTAGTTCACTGATGAATAAATCAGTTGGAATGGGAGCTGTCTCAGTCAAGTCTCTTCCTTAAGGCTTTTTCAGTAAGCCTGATATTCACTGTCATCCATAACAGTTATTTTAAGTGTGATCAAGAGGCAGAGAGATAGCTTGATTTTAACTCCTTGCTGTCATACCATAAACGTATTGAAGCTATAAAACGCATAGACACACTGATTATTCAAGATGGTTTATGAACTCTACATGCATGGGCAAATTCTCTCTCCATGTCAGGTCTTGAAACATCTTCTTGCCTCCGATTTAGCGCTGTTTTGTGGTTTATTTTTAACTCTTTTAAATGGTAAGACCCATTATTCTAAATTTTAATTTTCCCAGCAAAATCTCCACAAGGTCTATGTGAGTTACTCCTTTGGTCGGTCACTGCCAAAGGAGCTGACTACATAAAATATCCAATTATATTAATGAAAAGTTGTGGGAAAGAAAGAAGTGAAGTAGAAAAAGCAGGGGCAGTGGCATCCTGAAAGGTGTGAAATAGCAAATGCCTGGGACATGGACTTCCTCGTCTTAGACTGCTTCTCACAGATTATGTTAGAATGGTCCTACAAGGGTTAACAAGGGTGAAGGGTCGCTTAACAGTTAATTAAAAATTTAAAGATTTGATCAGATTAAAAATACTCAATGATATAATAAATAATTTTCAATAATGATTTGAAAAGCTATGTCATCTACAAGGTGCTTGTACATGGTCTCTAATTAAATATAAATCAGTGTAGGAGACTTTTTAGCATTTCATGCTGTGTTGTCTAATTAATACCAAAGAATGATTTCTTCTATGCCACTGAATAACCATACAATATATTAAAGCTTTAAAAAAATGGTAAGAAGGTATAAAAAACTGTAATTGGTGTGATTAATAAACAACAGGGATTTTTTTAAATTATCATACAAAAAGGTAAAAGAAACAATACATATCTTGTTTTTAAACTGAAAATAACTTTCTTTTTGTTATAGTCTTGGTTCTGTTATGTTTTCTTTTGTGTATTCTGTTTTACCTTGTTCCATGTTTTCTAGTTTTTGTGGTTTCATTCTTATTTTGTTGTGTTTTCTGGTCATTTTCAGTTCTCAGGTTTTTATTTGTTGCCCTCTGCTGCCCTGTTGAGTTCTCCTTTTTTCCCTTGCTACTTCCTTGTTTCTGCTCTGCTCACACCTGCTTCCAATCTGCTCGTTAGCTCTCCCTTTGTTTCAGTCTCCCATAAATAATGTCTCTGTGTAGTTCTTCAGTGCTGGTTCCTCATCTAACTTCCTCCAACTCAGTCTCTCTGAGCCTTCCTTCTCGTGATAGTATCTCCCCTGATGTCTCCATGGTTTCTGGTTTGTTTGGACTTTGTTTTCATGTTTGGATTTTTGGATTTCCTGCCTCTGTGTTCAGTTAACCTTACATTAAACCCACAAGAAAATCACCTCTGCCTCCCTTCTTCTGCATTTGGGTCAACAAACCACAACAAAATCTTGACACTTTTTTGAAACATTTATGTGTTATGTCTTTTTTTTCTTTTCTTTTTTTCTCCTGGGAGAATCCTGTCTTGCTTTCCAAAGTGGAAAAAAATAACTTTAATGTTTTGCTGTCAATGAAAAATCAGTTTTTTTTTTTTTTTTTTTTTTGCAATATGATGTTTTGCCCATTGATAAACTGAATCTGGTGTTTTGAATTTGAATAAATTTAGACTTCAAATATAATTTTTAATTTAAATTCAAATTTTCTTTCTAATTCTTATACTTATAACTTATATGCACCTTTAAAATATAGGCTACTGCTTTTGAGATGTCAAGCATAATATATCCTGCACCATTTGATTCAACTAGTTTTTAATCAATGATCAACACTTCAGTTTATTTTAAGTAACAAGAGGCAGCTGTAAAGCCTAAAAATAAATTGTCTTAGTAGCTCATTTAGGTTATTTGTCTCCCTATTGCAGTTCCACTCTGTTCAGTGTCTCCAAGTGCGCACGACCCGTTTGCAGCAGCTCTCGCACTGCAGACCGCCTGCCAGGCATCTGGATACTCTGCGTTCATTTCCAGGAGCGCTCTGGAGCGGTTTCCCCTTCATTCACCCCCAACAGGTGGATTAAGTCGATCAGGGAAGCATATCGGTGGAAATTACCCCGGGGTCTAGATGTTGCACAACTAGGTTTGATCTACCCTTGAAACTCGTTGCTCTTTTCCCTATTTTTTTTCTTCTTCTTCCTCTTCTTGGTTTGCGCGGTGAGCTGAATGCGGTGTTTTGACGCGCATTGATACCGAATGGAAATGAAAATGCTCTGGATCAGGACGCATTCAGAAGTGCGGTAAAGTGTCCAGAAAAGAGTGGAGGATGCAGACTGAAGCAGGATAAACAGGATAAAGACGAAGTGGCACAAAAATACCAACAAGGAGGCGCTTCTTATAAATCAACAGCGGCACATCTGCACTGCATTGAAGAAGTTGAGGAGAACTGTTTTATGATTTTTCTCTAAAGAAGAAAATGTATCTTCTTGGCAAAAGTCCGGATGCTCAACAACCTAAAGGTGTGTTTTACAGTTTCTATATTTAAAACTGTTTACTGCAGAGCGCGTTCAATAGACCTGAACATTTTCTGTGACCTTTACGCAAACACAAGTTGTTTAAAATGCATATTTAATTTAATAGGCTGGTTTAACCATACTGCAATCCCCAACGCGGAATGTTTAAAATGCAGGCTACTGCAAATTCTACTGCAACTTTTATTATGCAGCATGGAAATACAGCTCATACATGCCCAAGTTGGAGTTAGTATGTGTGGGAGTTTCATGATTTGTCCATGCATGGATAATCTGGGGAAAACTATATTTGATCCTAAATATATCTAAAAAGTTTATAGGTCAGATAACAAGCCTAAGGTTAAATGTTGTTGGTTTTTACACAATGCATATCATAGAGGGTAGATATTTCCTGGGGACTTTGGATGTTCATCATTTCTAAAGGTTAATGCTTATTAAATTACTGTTTTCGTGTTTTTTCCAGTACCAAAATATTCAAAACAAGTGGTATATTATGTAGTTTATGAAATATGATGACATTGGGAAATTTCTCCTGTGACAATCTGTGTTCAGGAAAAAAAAAAATGTGTCAGGGAAACCTACTGAAAGCACAAGTGTTAGAGATAATAGTGTTTGCATGATTGCCTCTGTCTTTTTTTTTTTTTTACCCTGTGATAGTGTAGAAAACTTTCAGCAGGAGACAGAAACCAGTCACCCTTCAGCCTTGCCAGGATACATTTATTTATAGACAATGGTTTGATAAATCCTGCATGATAAATTTTGTAAATAAGAAGTATAGATGGAATGATGGTTGAATAGATATTTAGATAGTTAATGTTAGGAGACTGAGTTGCCTCTTTGGCCAAATCATCCTGGGAGGCTAGTTGTACTGGGTTTTTTTTTTAAACTGCACCTAGTGGAGAGAATTACTTGCAAAGAATAGAGAAATAAAATTAAAATGATTAAAAAAGAAAAGGACATCTTTATTTAAAGTAACGCCCATATGATGTTGTTTTGATTTAAATTCAAATTAGAAAGCATCTATTTGGTTGAAAACATTGACATTTTAATAAATGTAACGCACTAACCGATGCTATTTAGTTCAGTTTGACTGATCCAGCTGAACTTAAAGAACTCTAGATCTTTAAGTTCTCTAGTTCTTTAGTCTAATATTGTTGGTGCTTTTTGACCAAGTGTAAATTATTTAAAGAGGTTAATCATAAAGAAATTTAAATAAAATGTTCCTTTAAAACACTGTTAAAATAAATGCAAATCACAAAAATGTATCATTTTCTTTTGAATAAGTAAAGCAGGTCGCTGTTCACAAAAGTATATGCTGTGTCATGAACCTTGGAGCAGTTTTACTTGTAGGTACAACTTATAGTAATTTCTCTCTTTTTAATGGATAAGCAATTTAACTTCTAACAGGGAGTGCAGTAGACAGAAAATAAAAGTACAAACAAGAAAGAATAGCCTCCGTCAAAATAAAAGCATAAATGACCACAAGGTGTTATGGTAGGACCAATGAACAAGCAGGATGATTTTCGCATTTAGCCATTTAGTTGACATTTGTACTCCCACCAAATCCTGTCACAATGAATTAACTAAAAGTAAATGAATTACAGAGGACTCCTTGACTACTAAATGATTAAAGATGCTGAAAGCCTTGGTCGCTTTAAATGGAGATTAAAAATGCATTTGTCTATCTATCTATATATCTATATTTATCTATTAGGGAGGCTAAAACTACTGTTTTTTGTAAAATTATTTATAAAATATGCATTGTCAAACTTCATTAATGTAATCATTAAACTGCATTAAATATATGCTTTGAGTATGTTCTGCATTAATCAGCTGTTTCTGCTCTTGGACACCATCTCCCCTCCACTCTGAAGCAGCAGGTTGCTGCGGTTTTTGCCTCGGTCTATTGAGCTAAACTGCGAGAAAGTAGAGCCCTGATTGGATCTAAATCTCTTGAGGCCAGGACACACCGAATCCGATTTTGCGTCTCATCCGTCAGAAAATTGTGTCAGACGAGGTTGTGGCATTTAACACTCATTCAAATTTAATGGTGATGATTACACCTGACATGATTTTACGCTAGGGGGCTTCCGCAATAGGAATGCAAGTTTACGATTAATTGATCTTATCGATGGAATAACGATTTATTGATAAGTGGCCATTTTCGTCAAAACCTGGATTTTCTCTTGTATCAAGAGGGTCTTTCCTAAACATGTAGAGATAAGTATATTTTAACAATATGAATCACTTTATGTCAACAATTTATTATTCCGGCTGAAATATATACTCACTGAATAAGCAAAAGTTTTCATACATTTCATATACTTAGACAATTTTATAAAACATGGTAAAAACCTATTAGGTAATATGTGACGCACCACGAGTAAAGTAGGAAGGAGTTGGCAAAGCTCAAAAAGAAAGAATAGTACAAAAAACACATCTAGTTCTAAGAAAGGGGTCACTAAATGATCTATTTTGTTTTTTTCCATCTAAATAAAAGGTGTGGGTGGAGTATCCAGCCTTATTACTTAGGCTAGATGTACATGGAGAGAAGCTGTTCTTTTGGTGGGAGGTTACTGATCAATGTACTGCACCTGCCAGAGGTGGGAGCTGAAAAAGTTTGTGTCCAGGATGGGAGGGGTCAGCTGCAATCTCACCTACTCGCCTCTTAGTTCTGGAGGTTTTAGAGTTTTTGAAGAAAAGGAAGATTGCAACTAAACATCCTCTGCAGAGTGAATGATACACTGCAGCCTGCCCTCGTCCCTGATGGTGGCAGCAGCACACCAGACGGCATTGAGGAGAGAATGGGTTCAGTAATGGTGGAATAGAGGTGCACAATCATCGTTGTTGGCCGGCTGAACTTGTTCAGCCCCCACAGGAGGTAATTTCACCGCTGTGTCTTCTTGATGAGCGAGGTGATGTTCAGCTTCCACTCGAGGTCCTGATCAGTGATGGTGCTCAGGAGCTTGATGGAATGGCAACTCTTTGTCAGCTGTTGGCTTAAAGGGGAGAAAAGCAGAGAAAAGTACTTTGCAGTAGCATAACAGAGAGAAAGAAAAGCTGGGCCACAAACTTAAATTAACCGTGTGTCAAATAATTTAAACAATTGTTTAAATAGAATATGCAAAAGCAATTACATTTTTTTTTTTACTTGGTTTAAATGAACTAAGTCATTTTTGCACATTTGCTGTTTTCTAGGAGTTTATTTTAGATTGTGCTAAGTGCGGTTTATTCATGTTTAGTGCTGTTTCTGGGTATGCAAAGTGGACTTAATCTAGAAGGGAGCTTAATAAACTAACAACAAATATATTTTGGTGCTAAGCCATTCAGTGATTCAAAGACTAACCAAAGCATGTTATAGTGGGTTCTCTGAGATACAATTGAGCAGTGTAAGGATTTTAGAAATGTGCTCCTCTTTCATGGTTTTAACAATGTTATTTTTACTTTAACCTTAAGTGGAAAATTAGTGCTGATGTTTCACTCATAAACATGGTACATTTTAAGATTACAATTAACAGCATAGCAACATAAATGCTTCTAAAAGCCACCAGGCATTATTTTTTTAAATGCTACCATTCAATAGAAACCCAGTAATCACATACAGTAATAAACATCCTACTGCTCCAGTTAAAATTGGAATTTTAGAACTATAAGCTTTGGTAAAACATGGATATATTCACATTTAATGAAGGAATTGTTGGTTTTCTTTTTCTCATGAACTAACTGGCTGCTCATTAATGTGATCATAATGAGTCGTCCTGAGACCATGAGTAAATAAGAAGTATTGGCCCATTATGCATTATGCATTGGTTAACTTGTGCTTCATTAAAAGTTATTTAAAACATTTTTAATTTGGGTTATACACCTCGTTTGACTTAGATGTATGTTAATAAGGTTGTTGCTTGGATCAAAGCTCTTCATTCTCTTCATCTTTAATTTTTATGCAAAAAATACCCAGATTATGGTTTAAAGATTAGAATTTAATTTAACTAAACATTTATCTCTTATGCTACATTTTTACAATGTCCAGAACAACATTCATCCTTTGACCTGTTTTACAATCTGTTTTGTTTATGAAATGTGAAATCATCCAAACATTGTTGGTTGGATGGTTACTAATGGTTAAACATTAGTAAGTAGGATTTTTTAAAGAACATTTAATGTTTTACCTCCCTATGTCTAATATATTTTGTCAAACAGTGCTCAGAGGATTTTAAGTTCAGTTTATGCCAATTTTGAAAAATCATATGTTATTTACAGTGTTTATATCTACAATTTCCCCATTGTGGGACAGTAAAGGGATTTTCTATTCTATTCAATATTAAATATCTTATATTTTACTTCATCTTTGAATCTGGATTGTTAATTTGAGATGTATGATGAAAAGTATAAAAGGAAAAAAATATTTTATGTATGAGTCACAGCTTAACTCTCAATTACTCTCATTTTCTGATTAGGTCCTAAATCCAACTAACCTTTAGTGTGTTTGTGCCTCTTTTCATTCTTTTCCTAACGCATTCTCTCTGTATTTTCTAGTGTGAAGTCCCTCAGACTGTCAGCAGCTGTAGCAGTGTTAGCAGGTTGCCTGTAAGCTGAAGCCTAGGGAGATGTCACAGCTGTATTACCGGAGGACTGACAGCTCTTCATATCGGGACCGCATCCCGTTGCGAATTGTGCGGGCAGAGTCGGAGCTGTCGCCTTTAGAAAAAACCTACCTAGGAGCTGTGGAGAAGGGGGACTACGCCAGTGTCAAACAAGCCCTGGAGGTTAGTCAGGGCTTTATTTTTTTGTATTTTTATATATATATATATATATATATAGCTCTTTTATTTTAATTAGTTGCCAAATAAAAATTTATAAAACTTTCTATTTGTTTTAATAATAAATAGTTCTAGATATATTACAAATTTGTGTCAACATTTATAACGGCCAATGATAACATATGCCGTTAGCAACCAGTTGTGATGGATACAACAACTTGGCAAAGGTTTGTAGGTCCATGTTGATTTTGTAAAAACAGGAACTGAGGGAAGGCCCATGCTATTTTCGCTTTGTATGTAATACAAAGGGTTTTTTGCATATTTGCAACAATGAGCATTGATGGGCTATTTGTTGCTCCTACAGAAAATATTGACTTGTAAGCGATTAACTAGCAATATAGTCAACAAATATCTTGAAGCACAATTCAACAAGAACTTGTGAAAAGGTGTTGATACTTAAAATGCTTCAATCAAAGCCCTGAAAGCTAAAATTAAAGCCCTTTAGATATCCTTGTAGTCTAGATTTTGGCCTTGCTTAAACCAGTCAGCATCACACTCTAACATTAAAGTTTCCGACTTGGTAAATCTACAGTTATTGTGGTTGTATATTCTACTGAAGGAGGGATGCTCTAGTGTCTGTTTGATTTGTGAGACACCTACACACAAGCAGTAAAGCGACAGCAAAACAATTATCATCAACATATATATGTTTACAGATTTATTATTTTTCTCCTGAGAGGAAATTAAATTGTGACTGCAGTAAAACAGAGAGAATACGATGCACCTATTAAAAGAAAACTTACAAAAGAATGAAAGAGAACCTAAAAATACATTATGGTGCCAATTCACAATATTTGAAACATAAACTTAGAGGTTTAACTAACAGATATTGCAGAATGTGGAACAGAGATAGAATGAAGCATAAATATGTAAAGTGGTCCCTATGTCTTCAAGCAGCCTGACCCAGTGTCAGAAAGAGAATTTAAAGTTCATGAGTGATGGAAGATTAGCTAAATAAATTCACCTTTGATGCAAATTCACCAAGAAAATGTCAAATCAGTAGACGAATACTTTCAAAAACTTTTGCTGAAAAAAAATCCCCGCTACTTCATCAGGATAGGAGAGTAATGACGATAGATTATCCTAAAATTTCGAACTCCCAGAAGAGGGAGCCAACATGATGCTCAATGTCACACTTCCACCTTCTACTTCAAACGGATCAAATAACAAGCTCAACACCGGCCTACATGGATCAATGAAAATACAACTTGGTGTGGGTTTTTATTGCATGGTCTTTGATTAAAAACTCAAAAAAATCAATATTGCAAAATCTAAGCCCTTTAGAATAAAATTGATGATTAAAAAATAACATTTAAAGAACTGCACAATATGCAACATAATATAAAGATATATTTAGAGTCAATCTTTTATCTCAGCTCATAAGCATCTTGGTTGTTCTCCCACTAGATATTTTAATAGCTACATCGAAGAAGTGCATTTAATCTCAGGCATAGAGTTTTGTGATCCAACAACTGTTAATTGACAAAATAAACTGTGAAATACATGGTAGGATGTATTGAAGCGGGACTCTGCAGTGAGCTACATTACCAGTCCTGTGTCCCCATAAGACAGGCAGTTTTAGAAGGGTGGTGATCTAAACCATTTTTCAGTCACACCATGTTCCATTTGCAACCACATTTGCCCCTACTAGAGCACATTTAATGGACATACATATTCTTTCACTCCACTTGACAGAATAATTTAAGGGTGTTATTTGTCTTTTATTCTCTATACTATAGTTTAGAAGGTGAAAGAAAGGCGAAACATTGACTTTATTAAGTTCTCTTGAAATGTGTGATTGCACTTTCTCATAGCCAGTAACATTTTAAAGTTCTTTAATAACCCCTGCTTTGAAAAAATATTCCTTTCACAGACCATTAAGTGAATTTTTCTTTTTTGCCAACAAAAAAAAGGATAATCCTTAACTGTTTTGGGTGCTCAACACAATCTTTGGTTGTGAACAGCCCACTTAGAAGAAAAATGTATTTCCTTATCTTGGTTTTTCTTTTTTTCTTTTTAGGAGGCAGAGATCTACTTCAAGATCAACATCAACTGTATTGACCCCCTCGGCCGCACGGCTCTGCTCATTGCCATTGAGAATGAGAATCTGGAAATTATTGAGCTCTTGCTGAGTTTCAATGTCTACGTTGGCGATGCCCTGCTTCACGCTATCCGCAAGGAAGTGGTGGGAGCTGTGGAGCTGCTGCTAAATCATAAGAAACCTAGTGGTGGTATGCAGGTAAGAAAGAAGAGCATGTAGAAAATATTGCTTTTTAAATAGAACTGAGCTTTTTATAAACTTATTTCAGTTTAACAGATAATGTATTTCTGGCAGAACAGAAAAAAAAACTTTGCTATTTTAAGCGCTTTGTTTTGTTGTTGTTTTGTTATTATTGACATCAATAGAAATAGTTCATACCAATAAAGCATTAAGTTTGGAAATACGTTAATGGTCAAACAGTTAGGGGTGCCACCCCCTTCCCATCTTTTAACACCAAAAGCAAGGGGAATTGACTGAGGAATCTATCCTGGATAGCAATGTTGTTTTTTTTCCTAGCTGTGTTGAGTCCTAATCCTAACAAACTGTTGTCCTGGGCGATGAGTTTGGTCATCTTTCCATTTTAATACTTATTTGGGCTTAACGATAGATACTGGCCAATCGTCAGGATGTAAATCCTGCAGAACACTGTTCATGCTGTTATCTGAGTGGACCGATACAGTATCTGTGTGTATATACTATATTTAAATGGGTTCTTGGAGAATTAAAATCTGTCAGGCTGGACAGAAACACAGAATCTTTTTTATTTATGGGTTAATGTGTTGATTGTGTACTGGCAGCTCTTATTATAACATCCCTATTTTTAAATCTCAAGTGGTGACCTAATGATTAGGGCATTGCGCTTGGGTCCCAGAGGTTCTGATTTCAAGCCCCACTGCCACAGACTGCCTCTTTGGGTCCCTGAGCAAGACCCTTAATCCCTCAATGGCAGCCCACTGCTCCCCAAGGGGATGGGTTAAATGCAGAGAGTTCATTTCATTGTTTTGTACTTTTAACAGTGTATTATTCTATTATATTCAGGTGATTGATATTAGCAGGCAGAGGTAAATTTGTTACCAGCGATAGCATGTCAGATGCAGAAGGGCTTCAAAATATAGCCAAAGCTTTATTTCACACTGTGATAGATAATCCAGGTCTAGAGATGCAAATGACTGGAGGTAATCCCTGCACACGTTTTTTACTTTCTAGATCTGGATTATCCACCACTGGTTTCACAAAGCAATATAGCTGTTCTATGTTATGTTCACTCGTGGATCATCTGTCAATTTAGATCTTTCAGCTTTAAAATTCCATTTTGGGTTTGTTTTTCCTTTTGTTTTTTTGTACGCCTAAAGAATAAATTGTGCAATGCACCAGCCACATAAGTGACCCCCTTTTTATCACCAGTCAAGATACTTGACTGACCTGCCAAGTAGCTGTTTCATGAAGTAAAGCTCAAACATTTACCTGACTAATGGCTAGATATTTCATGCTCACAGCATGCCATATTCAGTGTATACTTGCTTAGTCAACTGGCAGCTTCCTCAGCATAGTGTAATGCAAAATGTCTATCAATTTTTTTCAGCTGTCATTCAGCACATCTTTTTATTTTTTTTTTATTTAAAAAAAACAGCAGCATACCTTTTTATCTGTCAGAATCAGAAGCACTTTAAGTATCCCATATATTGCAATATTCACATTATAGACATTTGTAACAGCAAATAGCATTTGTCCTGAAGCCTGTGTTTGAGGTTAAAAAATTATTAAATAAAACATTCACCTCGGTCTTACTATTATTATGAGAGTGGTCTTGTGTTGTTCGGTCAGGAACTATTGTCTAGTAAAAGCTATACATATGTCAGTGATGCTTTGCCCACATCCTGGCTTGATCAGTTATTCTATAGCTGTGTTCGGATCCAGCAGCGGCGTCCTCCAAAGGCCAGATTCTTTGGCCAATTACGTCATAGCGCGACGACGTGGTCTCTTCGGATTCGAAGATTACTTCGTATGCAGCCAACAAGTGCAGCCTTCTTCTCACCCTGTTGGAAGGACAAGTCCTGTGTATCCTCTGTAGCCTTGCATCCATGAGTCATTGCAAGTCGAAGCAAGCCAGCTGTTCCGTGCTGGGAGGAAAAAAAGGAAATGGTTAATAACAGCGGTAAAGATTATAAGTGCAGATATTAATCAGTCCTTTCTCCACCTCTTAGAAAATGTATGCTTAAAATACTCTGTGTGAAAAGCGGCCCTTTGAGGCGTCACAAGGATAAATAAGCGGTCCAGAGCAGTCTGTTGCAGATTATTGTTTCAGCTTTGGTCTTCATCTTCTGTATTATTCCTCACTCCTAGCTGCTATCTTTATAAACTGTCGGGAGGATAGGGGCGTGGAAAGCCACACAGCACTGCCATAGGAGGGCTGGATGAGGAGCTTTTTGGAAAAGGCCATCTGACAATTCTGAGAGGAATTTTCCTGCACAATGCTAAAAACATGGTCTGGGAGCCTCATTGGTAGAATTTTTATTTTATTTTCAAATGTAGAATAATTTGGGACCTTTAATGGGCTCTATGCACAACTTCCCTACTTCCTGGACTTAAGCCACTTCTTTGGTTTCCTATCGATTAATCCAGGTGTGCCTGACCCCAGTAACCATGGCCAGACCCACCTGGATTAAACAGTTCATCCAGTAATGGCCTAATAGTTTGCTTTTGTACACAACTTTCAACTATTCAGTGTGCTGTATGGTTGTTTAGTCTATTTCTGTTCCAGGAACAGTCTTCCACACCTACGCTGCGAAAAAATGCCACCTGAAAATAGTCCTAATTGATAAGGATGCTTTAAAATTGTGTCTTTTAAAATTGTGGTTTTCAAGGCTGTACTTTTAAATAAGATGAAATTGTCTCAGAGAGCTGTTCCAAACAAAATTTATTTTTGTTTTACACTTGTGTAAACAAGATGACAAATAAAATCTGGCTAAGTCTAAGATAAACTATGGTTCACCTTGAAGACTTTAGAATTAGGTCAGCTTTTAAACATTTTTTGGGTTGCAATTTGAATGTGTTCAAACCAACTCACAATGTAAATCCAAGAGATATTTAAAACATTATTTCGTAAAATATTATTTTATTTAGTTCCAGAGGAAATGGACCTTTTAGTCTCTTTATCTAGGGTTGGTTTTTGAAGACAATGGAGCTAATGGCTAACACACATAAGGATACTGGCTTTAAAAAAAATGTTTTACAATCAAATGTATTGAACACATCAGGAAACGCGTAAAAACACAAATTTTGAAAGTTTAAATGTTTAGTGTTTTATGTTAGAATTGGGTTGGCCACCATGCAGTCACTGTGAGTTTCTTGTTAGATTGCTTTACTCAACAGTAAACACATGAAATGTCAAGAAGTAATTAAAAATTGAGATTGTTTCTTGGAAAGCTTAGGGGCATCTCCAAAGTTCAGGATGGCTTAGCTTGGATCTCTATCTGGATAGTCTAGCCGGGCTGTTGATGTCCTTTGTTTCTTTCCTGGATCGAAGTCTGGGACCTTTGAGTTACTCCTATAGACATAGAAATAAATGTATCAGACAGTTTGGTTTGCAGGAACCTGGTTCTGAAATATTCTGCAAAGCATTTACCCAGGCAGGATGAAGAGTGTGGCCCTTGCCCGTGTTGTTTCTGCTTCCTGCTGCTCAGAAAACCATTCAGGAGATGCTCTCCATGGTGGCTGCCTCCATGAGCAAAGTGGAGGAAGGTAGCGGTCTCAGAGGCTTTATACAAAGCATAGCAGGGGGTATCAAATGTTCCAGTGATATGTCACTGAGTGTTTTGTAGGTTGGAGCCTTAGGTTGAAGAGAGCAAAGGATTTTTCTGCACCAAATTGAATAACTTGGCTTATGAGAATTCACAACTTTATAATGACAAACTGGTCTTTCAGCCTTAAAGATACTTGATTCTTTACATTTCATTTAAACGCCCCTCAGCTGTTATGTTATTCAAAATAACCAACCTATTACTGTCGGCAGCATCAAAAGCTGACAAAGCCATCTTCATGACAGACTCTGTTTTTCAGTGGAAACAGTCTTACAGATTACAGATTGAGGCATAATGAGTGTATTCACTGAAATAAAAAAGTATGCCTAATTTGCACAAAATTGTAGTGCTCTCCCTTTTTAATCATTAAAGTTTTGACAATTCTGTCCACCTTAAATAATAGCTTCTTGTTGCAAATAAGCGCAGGCAGATAGGAACTTATTGTTATAATCAGAGGAGTTCTTTCAGTACTTTTCTTATTGTCAAAAGAACAGGCTTCACATCCTGTCTTGTCTGATTCTTATTAGCAGTAGGGCACCAAAATGGGTATAAAAAGTAAGTTTTACTTCATCAGTCAACTGATGAGAGATATTACAGTTGCTCTTACTGCTGTAGTACAGCCCATTTTTATAAGATAATGCAGGACTTGGAATGAATAAAAAATGTACCGGTAATGGTTGAATATACATTAGAGAGGAAATTAAAGCACGTACATAATAGTTCATAGTCTTCGCAGAAGTGGATGTAGAAGGAGCTAAATCACACAATCCTGGCCCCTTACCATTAACATCAATCAGCTGACAAATTACTACTTTAACTTAATTCCTTTTTAAGATAATGTTTCTTTGTGTCACATAAGTAAACGATTATTATTAATCACTTTGGGACAGCAGAATCCCCCGAAGAGAGTCTCATTGGTTAGATTAAAAAGTTGTCTAGAAAAATGAATCATGTTTTCTACCAGCATCCCTATTAATGGCCTTCTGAGAGTCATTAATAGGGATATTTGTTTTTTTGTTTTGCTTGAGCTTTGGATATGTATCATTTATTTCTGCCCAATGTCTGAATGATTGGTTTTCAATAATCTCACACATATTCAGTTTTTTCTTGAAGGTTTCTTTTTGTCTTTTACACAGAGGGCTGTGTCAGTTTTAACATTTTAAAGGAAATGTTGTTTTTTCGAGTTTTTACAGCAATACTAGGCTTGTTTTTTTTTTTTTTTTTTTTAATAGGTTGACAGGAAAAGTGGTATGAGAGGGGGGAGAGATATGCTGTGAAGGACCACAGGCCAGATCTGAACCTGGGTCGGCCGCGTCGAGGACTAAGGCCTCCGTACGTGGGTCATGCGGGCTAACCACTGGCCCACCTGCACGCCCGCATTTTGAAGCAAATTTTGCA